TGTGGATGCAGCGAAGAAAGAGAAATCGAAAGCAAAACTAACCTCGAGTTATCATCCCAAGATGACGAAATTGTCAATAAAAATGTAGCACGAATTCAGTTATATAGGCTACTCATTTGAAGTGTGCCACAAGGACCATTCATCCGCTCGGCTCCAAGTCCAAACAGCAGTGCAGCGCGAGCTTACTAGAGCAGATGCGTTTACTTGATCACCTCAGTCACACGACCACTAAACAGCATCCAGTGAGAAGCACTTGAATTCAGTGAAGAACACTTCTCTGTGATTTAAACTAGTTTAAAGCCAGATGGAACTGCGCTGACAAACTAGAGAAACACTGCGCAACGAAACAGTCAGAAGGCTTTTTAATCTACAAATTGCCATAATTTACCATGGATTTACTGTAGTAACACTAACTGTACCATGGTATTGTGGCAGAAATGAGGAATATTCATACAGAATTTTATTATATTATTAATGTAGACATTAAATGTATTAAAGGAGTAATACATTTAACTGTAATGGAATATAATTACAGTATTTTTTTGTGATTAAGCTATAGCATTTGTGCATTTATACTAAATGCATGGTTTAACTGTGGTTACCGTGATCTAAATGTACGCTACTATGAAATACCAATGGTTAATTGTAATATAATTCAAACACTTAGAATATTTAAATTTTACCATAAAAAGAGGTCGTTACAATTTTTACATGTTACTATTTTTGTTAATGAACATAAATTTACATCTGCATTCTAACTCAAGCTATAGCCTACTACTGTCAACTGTCATATTATTGTCATATTATTAATATTGCAGCCTGCACTTCAAACTGTCTAAAGATTTGTGCCATCAAACTCAGGCAACACAAACCTGTTACATATATTTGAAGCAATATCACATGTTAGCACAAGAAACTAAGACATTTTTCTATTAAGATATTTATTTTATTAAGGAAAAATGACTGGAAAAGTGTAAAGAATTCAAAAACGTGGCGTGTCTGTCATTTTCTGACAATAAAGAGTAGTTTAAAACCACAATTAACGGTCTGGTTTCTACAACTTTCACTTAGGAGCAAAATATGCCTTTAAATTTGAAAGAAATAAAGATTTGAAATTTATCCTGATAATTATCCATATCAACTGATATGAAAATGTTTATCGTGATAAATTTTTTGGCCATATCGCCCAGCCCTATCTGCTTCTTCATATCATTCCAGACAAACTGGATGATGGTGAGATCAGATCTCTGGGTGGAGCACTGGCTGTTGTCAGACTCCGCGTACAAACAAAAATCTCACTGGATTATTACAATTAATGGCAAAATGAATGTTTGGAAATGTAAACATTAAAGCAATTTTTCAATCTGGTGAAAATACTAGTGTTCTAATAATTTTGGCCACCACTGTATATGTTGAATGCATTAACGCAATGATGAAACGGATGATGTTTCTTAGTCAGAATCCCCTCAATGTTCAGCTTCAGCTCATAAAATGATTTTTGCACGTTCACAGATTGTTTCATGATAACCAACAAAGTGTAAATATGATGTAAATAAAAGATTAATTGTGCAATGTAAACAACTTTTTTAACTGCAATTTTTTCATTAATTTTTCAGCAGTTTCATTAAACTGAAGTGATTGACTGCTTCAGTGATTATAAAGCACATGTTCTTTGTTCACTTTTGGTATATAACCCATTCACAGTTTGAAGAACTAAGTTTTGACCACTCACTAAAAGCTGCAAAGTTTTGAGAGTATTTAAATTCGTAACTGTATCTGAAATTGCAGGGATTGACAAAGTGATAACCAAAGCAACGGATGACACAAACAATACGATATGTCAATAACTGGACACGCCGGCGCCACTGTCTCTCTCACTCATATAGAGAGGGAAATCCACCTGCGATCCGAGCTGAGAGGTTAGGCTACTCACGGACTGAATATGCGCTCTGCAATAATAATGTGATCGGTTCCTATGGTCCACGCTGATAGCTGTTCCGAGGCAGTTTTTTAGTTCTCATCTCCATAAATATATATATAGTAGTAGAGCTATTACAGTAGCTGGAAATCTGTTTATCCTTCTGTTCCTCGTGCTTCCCCATCTTCATAGAGAACGCGGTTCATGGTTGCTCAGAGCGCTTTGGAAAGAAGGTGAAAATGGCGCAGCCACGATTTCCACACATTTTTAGACGCTGGGAGCAGAGAAAACTATTTAGAGCGCCTTATTGTATTAATTAAAATATCGATATTTGGGCCAGTGTATCGATTCTCGTATCGCATGGAGAAGGACAACGATATATCGCCATATCGATATTTTGTCCCACCCCTAGTTGGAATAATAAAACTTATTATTTTGATGGCGGATTGTAGTCCAGAAAGGTCCAAACGACAATCATCAGTGACAACTGGAGATTCACCCATTGTCACACAAGATTTGTATTTCAAAGAGAACCAGTTCTAAGTAAGGAATAATTGACGACGGCCCGTTGAATTATTAGAAAATAATGCACACCTGAGGCAGTGATGAGGCCACGACGCACGGTTTGATGTTTTATGAGCTAACCGATCATCAGATTTAATCACTATTGGTAGCTCTGTAATGCTTTTTTTCTCAGTTGGTCAGAACATGTTACTTTACTTGTTCAGATGACATTTTCCGGTAAAAATTCTGATTTGGGTCATACTACCAAGATTCTGTGCATCGAAAGTACAGTATCCACACCGGTGCGGTGACTGACAACTACACATACTCCTCAAAACATTAGATTCATCCGCACTGAGGAGCCGTACTGATGCACAACCCACGTAAAGATGATAATTCCGCAAAACTGCAATTGCAGGTTTCAAACAAAGATGGCGACAAAGAGGCAAAACTTACAGCTGCAGCTTTAATTAAAAACTATTTGAAGACTTTGTTAATGTTTATTATTATCATATATTGTTTATTTTTAAAAACATTAAATGTTCCCAGTAGTTTACAGAAATTGGTACAAAGAACTGTGAAAATTTACTGGTATTGGTCCCAACTACTGAAATTTTGGTGTTGTGAAAACACCGCACATGACCCTAAGTTGACCGTAACGCTTTGTTCAATGATATAGAAGCTGAGGTTGCCATCTTGGCTCCAGCGGGAAATTAAACTTTACCATTTCAGTCAGCAACGGGGGTCCCGAGATCTTTTTTTCAACATTTTTGATTATTAATTTACTATTTTAATTATGAGTAAATTTGTATGGTTGTACGGTAAATATTATTGTTATTAATATTATTATTTTGGAGTTTATCTTGGTTTGGGTTTATTACTGAATTTATGTTTTTTTTGCCTTTGGGTTTATTTCTTTCTCAAGGGTTGAAGTTATATTTTGTTAAGAGGTGTATTTTCTAATTTTCAGGATTTGCTTTTGCCTCAGGATGGTTTCTTTAATTTACTTATTCATTTGGGACAATATTTTGCATGCCTACCCCTGTATGATTTTTTTTTTTTGTAATCTACTTTCTATCCCTTTTTCAACAACTCGTGTCCTCAGTGTATAACTTGGCCAGATTTATTACAGTAACCAGACTGAAAAAAAGACTCCTTAAAACAAATGTTGTCCTTTTGTTGTAACCATTTTCTGGAATTAGTTTTTGAAAGGGACATTGCACATAAGTGAAGCGGTTTCTGATTACGCCTATGAATGCCAAATTGATCTCTGGTGGTCTGATATGCTTTTTCTCTTAGAGAGACAGTAATTGAGCTATATCACTGTTCAAAGATACCAATGTTGTTGTTCTTCAAAAAAATAACAAAGACATTTTTGACTTTCTTTTGCTGAAAGTACTTTAAGCTTGTTAAATGTGGATCAGACCAGCCAGGTTTATATAGATGGCTCCGTCCAAGCCTGCGGTTCCTCTGAGATTCATTAAATGATAATGGACTGATAGGAGCGTTCAGACTTTGTCTTTCGGAGCCGTGTTGTTGGGGTTATCTAGGTTACCCAGTGCCAGGTTATCCAGCTTTCAGAGTGCAACAACAAAGAAACTGACTCTCCTTTTCACTCACCATTCTGGATTTAGACCGTACACTCTTAAAAGAAAAGGTTCTATATAGAACCTTAAAAGGTTCTATCAGGCGCTTCATATATGGAACCACTAAAAGGTTCCATATAGAACCCTTTTTAAGGGTTCAATCAAAAGAACCCTTTAGGGTTCTTTGTAGCCTGGAAAAAGGTTCTATATAGAGCCCTTTAGGGGTTCCCATCATGGGATTATTCTTTGGATTTAATTTTTGTTTTATTTTAATTAAATTTTAAGACTTAAACAGCCTATATAGCTACTTTATCACTAGAAAAACTGAAATAACCATAAGCATAACACATCAAGGTGTTGTGTGATCATTTAAGACACTTTTACAGCAATTCATAGTGCAACAGTTACAGGGATTAACATAAATAAATTTTTCTTTATTTATTCATACTTTTTATTAAAATAGCACTCTCCATTTTAGAAATATTGTTTTTTCAACCCCCTCCACCTTACTCACCCATCCAACATGTCAGTTACAAATATATGTTGATTGCTAGAATCCACCCAAAAAAACAATTGAATGTTAACTTGCACAAATAAATAAATTGAAAGTTAACTTGCAAAAAGAATTAAATACACAAGTAAAATTAGAATGTGAAAAAGTCATCAAATAGTATATTAATGACAGTCCTCTTTTGCATATCACCACCAGGTCATTACCCTTTACCTTAAATAAATGTCAAGTATTTACTCCACATTCTCCTATAAACCAAGTAGTCTGACTTTTTTTTTTTATACTGCAACTTTTGCCAATTCTGTAACCCATGAAAGATGGTGAACCACATTTCTGAAAAGGGAGAGAAAAGACTAACTAGTAGTATTGTTTTTAAATTTATAAGCATTAAATGTAAATTTTTCATTCAGATAAGCATTTAAACAATAAAAACAAAAGACCCATGACAATTTCAGCACTGGGAAGGGCCAAATAGTGCTGATTGAAATTAACTGAGTGATGGCTTTTGGATGCTCCATAGTACTTAACAAAAAGTAGACAGCAAACAGATACTTCTGGCATCTCTGTGTTATTGGTCAGTGACACATCCATTTTGATGCTAACTCTCCTTGCGATGAGTAGGCTTGACATCCTAAGATGGGGATACAAGTCAGAGAAACATTTATTAGACCTATGGAGAGTACAGTACAACAGGAAAAAGAAAGGAATCTCTCACAATTAAATCAAATCTTAAAACTTACTTGAATTAGAGAGGAGTGTGGTGTTTTCATCTGAATGTAGATGACCAAACAAGTAATGCTGCACTCCATAGTCCAGACCTGCAGTGACAGTACAAAATATTTATTTATCAATCAATCATAAGAACCTGCATGATAATATGTGGAAAATAGAAGAAGAAGAATATATATCAGTAACTTCAGATTAGCTGATTGATGAGTTTCCCAAAGTTGGTACTGTGAGGAAAAAGAAATAATTTACCTTTTGTGTTATTGTTTTGCAGCAAGTTGGGCACGTTTCCTCTGACTTCCACATTTTTCTTTATTTATTCATACTTTTTATTAAAATAGCACTCTCCATTTTAGAAATGTTGTTTTTTCAGCCCCCTCCATCTTACTCACCCATCCAACATGTCAGTCACAAATATACAGTATGTTGATTGCTAGAATCCACAAAAAAAACTATTGAATGTTAACTTGCACAAATAAATAAATTGAAAGTTGACATGCAAAAATAATTAAATGCATAAGTAAAATTAGAATGTGAAAAAGTCATCAAATAGTATATTAATGACAGTCCTCTTTTGCATATCACCACCAGGTCATTACCCTTTACCTTAAATAAATGTCAAGTATTTACTCCACATTCTCCTATAAACCAAGTAGTCTGACTTTTTTTTGTATACTGCAACTTTTGCCAATTCTGTAACCCATGAAAGATGGTGAACCACATTTCTGTAAAGGGAGCTAAAAGAGTAACTAGTAGTATTGTTTTTAATTTATAAGCATTAAATGTTAATTTTACATTCAGATAAGCATTTAAACAATAAAAACAAAGGACCCATGACAATTTCAGCACTGGGAAGGGCTAAATAGTGCTGATTGAAATTAACTGAGTGATGGCTTTTGGATGCTCCATAGTACTTAACAAACAGATACTTCTGGAATCTCTGTGTTATTGGTCAGTGACACATCCATTTTAATGCTAACTCTCCTTGTGATGAGTAGGCTTGACATCCTAAGATGGGGATACAAGTCAGAGAAACATTTATTAGACCTATGGAGAGTACAGTACAACAGGAAAAAGAAAGGAATCTCTCACAATTAAATCAAATCTTAAAACTTACTTGAATTAGAGAGGAGTGTGGTGTTTTCATCTGAATGTAGATGACCAAACAAGTAATGCTGCACTCCATAGTCCAGACCTGCAGTGACAGTACAAAATATGTATTTATTTATTAATCAATCATAAGAATCTGCATGATAAAATGTGGAAAATAGAAGAAGAAAAAAAAAGATATCAGTAACTTCAGATTAGCTGATTGATGAGTTTCCCAAAAGTGCTCTCTGAGATAGATGAACATCTACAACAACCAAATACAGTGTGTTTAGAATAATATACAATTACTTCAGCAAAACAAATAATTATATTTTACTATACTATAACTGCAAACACCAAATACTCACAGTTATCCACAACATCTGGAAACATCACCAAAAAATGCCAGGGCCGATTTTTTGTCCCAGTCCAGCCCTGCGTTAGGTCCAATACAATCTACAGGGCAAAAAAAATATTAGGATATAACATGAACTCTCGCCAGCATTATTGATCAATTCACAACAGTTTTATCAAGAGACTTTAGGGATTCATGTTAAAAATGACAAACCTCCCGGCGGAGAATTGCGCAGGCCTGGACAACGCGATAAACCACGTTTCTTCTTTTTAGCTTCTTGAAATAAACGTGTAACGTTAGGCTAACTAAAATGACAAGGGTTTAGGTAAAAGTAATTGAAATAAGCTGAAATTAATTAATTTTCTCACTTACCAATGTAATTGTCGTTCTCCTGAGCGCTGAGTGCAGTCAGCGCACCGTAACCGTTGAAGTTTAAACAGTGGAGCTTGCACGCTTATTAGTGATCACTCTCGCGAGTATGGAAGGCCAACAAAACCAAAAACCCGTGAATTTTAACACGTCAACAACGCGTTAAACATGCATATTTCACGCTTAAAAAAACACGTATTTAACGCGTTAAATACGTGTCGTTTACGCGTGAAAAATCAGCGTGTTAAATACATGTATTCGCCATGAGCGCCAAAAACACGTGAATTTTAACGCGTCAACAACGCGTTAAACACGTGTATTTCACGCGTAAACAACACGTATTTAACGCGTTAAATACGTGTCGTTTACGCGTGAAAAATCAGCGTGTTAAATACATGTATTCAACGTGTTAAATACGCTTGAAATACACGTGAAATACGTGTTAAATATACGTGAAGTATACGCGTTAAAAATCAGTTTGAACGGGTCAGTGTCATGGGTTCCAAATTGAAATCAGTGGTTACTAAAGAGACAAGATATTACTCTGACTTAAGTTGTTTCAATTTGTACTTACCTCAGACTTGTCAGCAGCTTAATGTCCTTATATCTTATATATAGCTTCATATCCTTTATATCTTTAAACATACAATGCTTTAATAGTACAATAATATAAGTGCAATAAATTAAACTGTGCAATACTCAGATCTATATTTTCTACTGTATAGTTTCATAAGTAGAGTATATGTACAAGTAATCTTAATTTTTAAGAATTCTCATATGCTTTTATTTCTTTTTTTATATGTGAGAAATGGTAACGACCTAATTTACACCCTGGGATCAATAAATTATATCTATTATCTAATTTATTTTCTTTTTATTATTTTCTAATTTATTATCTTACCAGGTTTCAAATATAAATACTGTCTATAAAAATAAATAATGTCTATGTTATAAGGCTTATTTTATTATTTCTTCACCAAATATTTCACCTAAAAATTAGCACCAAATAAAATCAGTCAACAATCCATTAACAAAAATATATGTAGTTTTATTTTCACATTGCAATAGAACCAATCGACAAGAAGCTACTGTTGCAGAATATTAATTATGGTTTGCAGTGCATCAATAGCCGGACTTCTGACAGGTCCTGCAAGAACGTCCACATCCTGCAGTTGTTGCATCTGTGCCTCGGTTGGACTGAATTGGTTTGCAGGAACTGTTACAACTTCCTACCAATCCACAGCAGGAATTGCACCATCTTGGGCAGGGCTGAGTCCAAAAATCTCATGGCAGTGAGTGATGACGTTTGCCTCTAAAGACATCCTTCGACAAACATCTGATTTGGTGTGTGGTGACCAGCAGTGCGCAATCCATGATTGTTCCACTGTTCCCTGAAAACCTCAAAGTCCCGGTTGATCCGTGGAAGGTACACATAATGCAGTGCGTAGATGTGTAGCTCATTGGTACAGTCAATGACTCCATCACACTCAAGAAAGGAGAAAAACTGGTGGTACACATCAGTCATACCCCGGATCCCCTGGATCACTGTTCTATATTCTAGGCTAGATGTGAAATGTTAAAAATTAAGATTACTTGTACATATGCTCCACTTATGAAACTACTGTATACAGTAGAAAATATAGATCTGAGTATTGCACAGTTTAATTTATTGCACTTATATTATTGTACTATTAAAGCATTGTACGCTTAAAGATATAAAGGATATGCAACTGTATATAAGATATAAGGACATTAAGCTGCTGACAAGTCTGAGGTAAGTACTGTCAAGCCCCTGGACTGTCTGTGTGTATGTTTTCGTCCCCATGTGCTCGCCGTGACCCAGTTTCTGTTTTTCATTGATTGTATGATTTGGTTCAGGTGTGTCTTTGCAATTACCCTCGTTACCCCATGTATTTAAACCCCAGTCTGTGCAGTCTGTCTTTGTCGAGTCTTAATGTTATGCATGTGTGTCTTCAGTCATTCCTAGTGTGGATTACCCCATGTTCTGGATTACATTAACCCTTTAAACCCGAGGTGTCCCACCCTTACGAAAAAATTCAAAATCACATTACGAAGCATCCCCTGAATGGAATAACACAAAATATGTAAAGCTTAAAGCTAAATTTTAAAGCTTAGAATCTCAGCTTTTTAATGAATGTAATTATTTCATCATTAAGATAAACTCTTAACGGGCGCTAAGCAGTCCCTCTAAACCGAAGTGTACCGCAGGCGGGACACCCCCCCCTCCACGACAATATTACTAATCATATTTTTCAAACCACTGCCTTGATCAACGAAAAATGGATATCGTTTGAAAGTTCCTAAGTAACTCCAAAGTAGTGCCGAGTTATTTGCTGATAAATGACAAAAAAAAAAATCATAATTTACAAAATGTTTTTTTTTTGTGCCATGCACTCTAATATGTCAAAAATATCATACAGCTCGGATAGTCATATGTCATTGAGTGGAATAAAACAAGTATAATTTTTTGGGGCTTTGACTAAACTTGAGTGAGGCATTACTTCAAATTCAAAACAACAATTTCAAAACTGTAAAGGG